CCCTCCTCCTCCTCCCCCCCTCCTCCTCCTCCTCTTCCTCCTCCTTTTTCTCTTTCCTCTGGTGCTTCCTCCCCAATCCGAGCTCAGGTCCACAGCTTCCTGTCCCCCTTGGAGGTCTCTCCACACTCACCCTCCAGTTGGTCCCTCTAGCTGATCTCTGCTTGAGGCCAGTGAGAGGGGGACATCAATGTCCCTCTCCACTGTGTGGCCCCAGAGCCAAAGGTCACAGGGTTACCAGGCACCTTCAGGCAGGACTGGTATAAACGACTAAGAGAACACATCTTAAATCTTAAGTTTAATTCACTGAATATAAATAACCACGTGAAGCCACTAGCCCCCATCGGTACAGTCCTTGGCCACCTGCTGGTACCAAGTACACCCTTGGAAGGATGGAGGGCCTGAGGGGTTAGGGTTAAGGTTATTCTTAGGGTTACCCGTCCGTTAGCAGGTTAGGCTTAAACTGGATTGCCACAAATTCAAGGCCAGCCTGGGCTGCATAGTGAGTCCAAGGACAGACTAAACCACACAGCGAGACCCTGTCTAAAAGAAGAAGGTTTAAGGAAAGAAAAGATTAGATTAGATGATCAGCATTAAGGGGCTCAGGTTGGGATTAAGGTGATTAGGATAGGGCTAGGACCAGGGTTGGGACAGGATTAGGGTTAGGTTAGGGAGGTTAGGCTAGGTCAGCGGGGTGAAAAGACCAACCAAGCCCCTGCCTTGGGGACGAGAGCGACGCACATGGGGGCCTGGCTCATCCCCCAGCCGGCTCACCAAGCTGCCCGGACCGTTTTCATATCCATAAGGTGGGGACATTCTGTGGCCACCGTGGTGCACACTGCCCTGGAGCTTCCACACTCGGGGAGGCTGCCGCAGACAGATTGCAAGCCTGAGGCCAGCCCGGCCGGCTTAGCGTCCTAGACAGACCCTGGGTGCTCCCAAGGGGAGGGCCTGGGTTTGATCCCCAGTACCATGAAGAGAAAAGAAAGGGGTGGTGTGGGGGGTATTTTAAATAATTCCTGAACTGGGAGGCTTTTGTGAGAATCTAACAAGAAATTATGAGGAAGAATAAGTGGGACAAGGTGTAGCCTCCTGACATCAGCACTCGGCAGACGGAGTTGCATATCCGCCGGCTTCGCTGCCCTTGGGGAAAGGCGGGGGGCACTTCCCCTGTGGTGCTTCGGGGGCCCCAGCCTGGCCTCAGGGTCTCCCTGCTCCCTTCACACAACAGAGCAGAGCAGAGGCTGGGCTGCCGTTAGCCACAGTGCTGGTGGCCTCCCTGGATCACAGGGCTGCAGGCCGTCCTAGAATCTCAGGCCCTGTCCGTCCAGACCTGGGAAGGAGGGTGGCCGGGTGGAGGGGAAGAGGCAGGAGACCCAGGGGACCGACCGTGGGCTTTTCTTTTCCAGCACAAACCAGAGGTGGCAAGGTTTGTTTTGCTCTCTTCTCCACATTCCTCCCGGCTGCTGTCAGACCTTGGCTGGGACAGTCAGGCTGGAGGAGGCCCAGTCTCTCTCGGCCTCCCGCCAGCTCCCAGCCACCCACGGGGCGCATTCCAGGCTGCTGTCTTCCCCTCCTCTGGTGTCCACACCTCCCACCCTGCTGCCCTGCCCCGGGGTCCAGCTCCCTGCCCAACCTGGCCCTAGGCTGCCACAGCCCCTCTTAGCCTGGCTCCCCCTTGTGCTGTTTCAGCTCCGTATAGTCCACTGAGGTCTGAAAAGAAATGGAAAATTCCCGCCACAAACTGCTCATACCTTTTAAATAACTTCTGTTCTAGCACATTGTTAAGGTGGCTCTATTCCATGTCTCACTGTGCCTAAGGTTTGTGTCAAGCTTCATCGTAGATACCCACGCGCGGGAAAAGTCACAGCAGGGCACACACAGCTCTGGCACCACGGGGCCCTGGGCTGCGTTCCCTGCAGGCACAGGGACAGTAGGTCCCTGCCCTCACGTCACCCTTCCTCTCTGCTCAGGGAACCAGAAGCCAACAAGAGAAGGGGGGGGGGGCGCCGGCTGAGTGTGCTCGTGGCCCCTTCTGGGACGCTGGTCACCCTGGCGGTGTCCGGTGTCCGCAGAAGCGCAGGCAGGTCTGCAGGGCTCTGCAGCCCGACTACCCCCGGCCCCAACAGGGAGCCCCGGGATGGCTGGGCGAGGAGGACGCGTTGGCGGCAGGGCGCATCTCCTGCGCCAAAGCGAAAGGCAAGGTGGGAGCAGAGCCTTCGTCCTGCTGCGTTTAGGGGGAAGGAGGTCGCCTGGCGCTGTCGCAGCTCTGGGCAGGCGCCTGCTCTGCAGGGAGCGCTGGCCCACGCTGCCCGCACGCGCGGTGTTCTAGAGTTGGAGGAGGGGCGTTCCTGCCCTGCCCCAAAGGAGCTGCAGTGCAGCTGGGGACCCCAGCACAGGCCGAGAAGGGAGCAGCGCGCCGTGCAGGGCTTTCCCTGGGTCCGGAGGATGAGAAGGACAGGGGCCTAGCTGAGCACCCCGCCTGGGGGTGCAGGGGAGGGCGAGGGTGGAGAGCGAATGGGCGGCTGGGCTGGCTGGCCCCGGGGGGGGGGGGGGGGGGGGGGGGGCAGCAGCCCCTCGCCAGCCTGCCCCAGGTAGGCCAGAGGTGGGCGGCACCCTCACATCCTGCGGATTTAGAATTGCTTCTGGAAGTTTTCCGCGTCCCTTTCAGCCCGGAAGTTATGAGATCAGACACTGTGGCCCCGCCAAGTGGGTCAGTACCTGCGTGGAGTCGATGGACTGGGATTCCGCCGTCCAGGCTGGCTTTACAAAGCTGAACAGCTACATTCAGGGCAAAAATGAGAAAGGTAAGGAACTTTTCCTTATAATTATGTGACCGTGTTGTGATTGAGACTCCAGGTTTATCACAGCCTTTTAGCGTATTAATACAAGATCTTTTTTAGAGTAGGAAAACAAAGAGAGACCTGAGGTTTTCAGACCAAGACTTCCTTCAGTACCTTAGTGACAACATCCGTGCTTCCCTGCTCTGCTGGACGGAAGCCATGAAAGGTCCTTCCCCATGGCTAATTCTTCCCGGTCTTTTGGTGACCAGCAGGTCCAGGGAGAGAGCCACAAGATTAGGAATCTCAAGTGACTGCTTTTGGAGCAGACCAAAATGTATATATTTTAGCAGATTGTATCCTAAATTGTTAAGAAAAGAAAAAGTTCTAATTTCCCCCCTTGATCTCTAAGAACAGAGAGTTTGTTCACCAAAAATATTAATGGTACAGAAGGTTAAGGAGGACCATAAATAACGGAGTCCTTTGGGCCTAATATTTTTCAAGATGAAAGTTATCTTTTTTTTTTTTGAAAGTTATCTTAAAGTTTAATTTTTATATCAGTACTATAAAGTAAATAAAAAACTCACATCAGAAATGGTTAGGATTTTAAAACCAGTCATGTATATACTTTCAGTTAGCTTACATTTTTATGGTATAGGGATGAAGATAAAGATGACAGCTCCGGTGACAAGCTACGTGGAGCCTGGCCCGGGGCCCTTCAGTGAGTCTTCCATTACGGTTTCCCTGTATGTCCCCTCGGAACAGCAATCTGATCCACCCAGGCCCTCAGAGTCAGATGTCTTCATTGAAGAGAGAGCCGAAATGACCGTGTTTGTACGGTAAGTGGCGGGTAATTTCCAGTCCTGCTGACTGCTGGGCCTGCTGCCTGCTGGCTTCGCTTGCATTCACTCCCCATTTAGGTCCCGTGCCATGACACCCTTCCATAAAAAACAGGTCAACAGCATTCATTTCACAGTGTTTTCCTACTGGCTTCATTTGAAATAGTCCTAAGGTCAGTTGCAAGACATAGCCCTTTCATTTAATGAGAAGGGTGCTGCATATCTTTTACATATAATACCTAATACAAATTATATGCTCCTAAAACCAAAGACCACCCTGACCTGCAATCTAGAGAGATCAGGACAAAAATATCTTCAAAAACAGTTTTAGTCTGTTGGGACTGCTATCACAGCATATTATAGACTGGGTAGTTTATAAAAACCAGAAATTTATTTTTAATATTTTGGAAATTGGGAAGTACTAGGTCCAGGCACCAGCAGTTTTAGTAACTGACGAGATTATGTTGACTTGTAGGTGGCACCTTCTCCATGTGACCTTACATGGTAGAAGAAGCCATGAGCTCCTTTATAAGGGCAGTAATTCCATTCATGAGGGCTCCATCCTCTTGACCTGGTCACCTCCCAAAGCCCTGATCTTCTGGTACCATCCTATTGGAAATGAGGATTTCAGCAGATAAATTTGAGGGGACACAGATATTCAGTACACGGCATTCTGTGCCTGGCCACACTGAATTCATTTTTCTTTTTTGGGTACCAGGGATCAAACTCAGGACCTTACACTTGCCAGGCAAACACTTACTCCACTGAGCTATCTCCCTGGCCATTGGCTACACAGAATTCATGATTTTCTCCAATATGAAATGCATGTGTTTCAGCTCATTAGGCTCTCAGCTCATTAGGCTCTCACATCCAAGCTCATTCCAGCATTGACGGAAAGGACTAAGCCCCAGAGTCTCACCTAAATAGCATCTCAAGCACATCCTGATGAGGCTTAAGGTGGGGGGTCTGTGGCAGACTCTCTCCAGCTGTGAATGTGTCAAATCCACCGGTTCCTTGCTTACAGAATAACAGCAGTGGGACTGGACGTTCCCATTCTACAGGGAGCGATGGGCAAGAGGGAGTGGACAACAAGTCCCACTTTAAGACCCCACTCCTTTTTATCAAGGCTTTTACAGATCTCTGTAGTGGTGAAAGGTCGGGCCCATTTACCTCAAAATGTGCCTTGTGGTTCTGTCTCTATCTGCCCATCCTCTCTGTCACTTTCTCAGTCCCTCACGGGAACTGAGGCTGAGTTAGTGGTTCCCACCTGCCCTGTTCTTGGCACAGTGGCTGCGGCTCCCAGCAGCACTGGACTGTAGTCTGGTCACAGGTGCATTGTCTTGACTGTGTCATTTCAGTACTCTTCTCCTCTGGAATTGTGGTCTTTTTTTTATAACACCACTACCCTCCCCAGCCTGCTGATCTATCTGGAAGCCTGTGTGGTGTCCTGTTGCTGCCAGGGGGGAGCTCAGGTTGTCCACAGTGGCCTTTGCAGGGTCCCCGCCCTGCCCTGCAGCCTCTGGCTGAGGTCTTCAGCTGCTCCTGTGATTTTCCCACCCTTCGTGGAGCGGGCTGTGTCCTTCACGTCTCTTACCTCAGACCCCACGCGAGCTGGCCGCTTTGCTTACTGTCTTCCTCCATCAGTTGTGTAACCGCAACAGTGCTTGTCTGCCTCACAGGGCCACTGGGAAGATCAACTGAATTAATTTACATAAAACACTGGGATTACGCACATCACGCACCTCGATTCTCAGCCAGCCCTCTGGCCTCACTGCCCTTCCTTCTGGTGTTATTACTGTTCTGCGTTATAACGTGCTACTCGTAGACTAGAACCCTCTCAGGAAGGTGGCAGCTGTCACCATGTCCAGCAAGGCAGGCGAGTGGGAGTGGAGAGGAACAGTCTGTAAAAACAAGCAGTGGCTAGACCATTGCAGAACAACGTGTTTCCAGAGGACAGAACGTGACTTCCAGTTAGAGGGTTTGAGATTTCTTGTTAAGGAAAACCTGGGGCCTGTGTTGGCTCTTTATTAAAGAAAGTAATAAATCTGTGAAGCAAAATGTTCCTTAACATATGCCTCAGAACTACATTAAGTATCTGTGATGAGGATGCCGGAAGAGCTGCATCAACTCACCTGCTGTGGTCTATGATATATGTCCGTGCACACGGAGCTGGCTAGATTTACTGTAGATTTAGAGGGAGCTGTTGCCAGTACGCATCTAGGTGTGGGGCAGACCCACCTTATGCCCTCAAGAGTTTACATCTTCCATGAAGCGTGGCTTGCATCACCACATGGCTGATGTGACCTTACCAGAGAAGGCACATAGGGATATCTTTCTCATTCCTAATCCTCAAAATCAAGTTGACCGTGCTTGTGCGCCGGCACCTAAGCCAGGTTAGTGTGCAGTCATGACTTAGCCTCAGAGTACTTTGGCTTATGTACTTCAAAATCTACGCTTCCATTTTCTGTTCTCTTTCCTGCCTTTCACTGCAATCTTTTCCTCCCCTACCTTGCAGCAGCCTCCTGATGAACTGCCAGCCACCAATCTCAGATCCATCTTTACCATGTTCATATCCAGATCTGTTCGGGTTGCTTTCTGCCCTGCATTCCTTGACTACTGGAAAGGCCAGGATACTAGGACCCTCCTGCCGGACCTCATTATGCTGTGTACTTGTAGGCTTCTGTCCCTTTTCTTATCCCTCCGCTTTCTTTATTCAGCAAATCCACCCTGCATTGCAGCCCAGCTCGGATGGCCCGCCCAGCCCCGCCCCTGCCCTGGATCTCTTCCTATCCCCAGCACTTCTGCAGCTGGGCTTCCTTCCATTACAGTTCTTCTCAGTAGGTATAGAAAGCTGCCAGAATGTCTCTTCTGTTAATTCATGAAGTATAGAGGCAACAACAGTATCATATTCATCTGTGACCCAGTATCTGTTCTTTGTCCAAGAATAAAAGAAAGGGTGAATGTTTGATAGAAAATGGAGAGGTCTGCATTGGGTGCATGGGGTGCTCCTGTAACCTACTACGATTCCAGCTACTAGGGAGGCTGAGGCAGGAGGATTGCTTGAGGCCAGGAGTTCCAGGACAGCCTAGGGAATACAGTGAGACCTCCATCTAAGTCAAACAGGTGGGAGGGAGGGCAAGAGGGCGGGAGGGAGGGAGGGAGAGAGAGGCAGACAGAGACAAAAAGAAAAAGAGAGAATATAAATTGAGCATCTAGAGGGAGGATCTAAGGGGTTTCAGTGTAGGTCTCAACCAGCAGTGTTTGGATACTTGCTAAGAACACCATGTTCACAAGATGCACAAGTTTGAGAAGCACAGCAGCCGGACACATGGGGCTGTGTGAGTTGCAGATTTGCCTGTGAACTCCTGGGACTTGGGTGTCCAAGTCTCCTGGGCTTGCCCATGGGTCCAAAGCCATGTCAGGTGAAGCACAGGGACGGGAGGCTGGCACAGCAGCTTGGAACCTGCACTGCTAACATTCCGGTTGCAGCTTCACAGACTGACATTCCCATTGTCATCGTGGCGCGCACCTGTCACCCCTGCACGCGAGGTCGCCTGGGCTCTGTAGCTCAGTGCCAACCTGAACTACATAGCAAGACCCTGTCTCAAAAAATGGTCTTATGTTTATTTACTTTCTCTTTTGTAGGTCTTTCGATGGCTTTGCTAGCGCCCAAAAGAATCAAGAACAGCTTTTGACATTGGCAAGCATTTTGAGGGAAGATGGGAAAGTCTTCGATGAAAAAGTTTTCTACACTGCAAGCTACAACAGTCCGTTCAAGTTGCTTGACAAAAATAATGAAGTGTGGTTGATTCAGAAAAACAAGCCCTCTGAAGGGAACCAATGAGACCAGGAAAGGCGGCGTGCCACTAGGGCAAACCCTCTTCCCTGTTCACCTCAGCACCGCCTCCAGAGAAAGCCAGTGTGTAGCCGGTCCTGCTCTCGGGGCCCCGCCAAGAAGTGCTTTCATTTCGCATTTGCCTTTTTAAGTGCTCGAAACTTCCCTTAGATACACAGATCTCAGGGACAGAGGTGCAACCGTGTCCATCTCTGGATGCCTCTCTCTCTCTCTCTCTCTCTCTCTCTCTCTCTCTCTCACACACACACACACACACACACACACATAACAATAGAGTTATTTCCCCTTTCTTTGCCATAGCACGACCGTGCTGCCTACTTCTACTTGGATTTGTGTCAGGTGAATGTTCTCCCTGTACACAGTATCACTAAAAAGATGTGTCCAGTGTGGAACTATGGAGGCCACAGGCCTGAGAGGTGAGATTCAGTTGGACGCAAAAATAAACCATCTTTTGTGGCTGCTGTTGTTACATTTTCTGTTGCGTCTCCAAGCATAGATTTTTTTTTTTTTTCTGGTACTGGGGATTGAATCTAGGGTCTTCACACTGAGCTATATTCCAGCCCTCTTTATTTGTTTTTATTTATTTTGAGATAGGGTCTCACTAAGTTACTGATTGCACAGGCTGGTTGTGTCAAAATGATTAGCTGTTTGAAGGGTGGGTTGCTGCAGAAGCCAAGTTAGAAGTCCTTGCCTAATTGCATTGGGAAGATAAGTCTCAGCTGGGCCCTGGCAGCCAGCCGGGGGAAGGCCCTTGGGGGACCAGCATCTCCTGGGGGTGATGGCTGTAGGTATAGGGACTGCCACAGTGAGCTCAGGTCATCCCTGGATGTCAGGCGGTCCATAAGCACACAGGTGCCTGTTCCCCGCCTTGTCTGCCTGAGCAGAGGCCATACGTTCACTCCTCAGGAGACAGCTGCTTAGCTCGGAGGTCCGAGCACCCCATGGAGTGGAAGGGAAGGTGATGCTGGGGTCCCTTCCACCTTACCATTACCTAGCTCTTAAAATGAACCTCCCTGGAGACCCTATCAGTGAAAGAAATTGGGCACCCCAGCTTAAGTATCTCACGGTTTCTCTTACATTAAAAACCCAAAAGTATAGAAAGGAACAAAACTAAGAGAAGGTAACAGGGTACAAGGAGACGGAGCTTTTGACAGTGGGAAGAAGACTGAAATGTGAGACCCATTACTTGCACACATTGTTCCCTATGATGGATGTAATTACAAGACACTGTCAGCTGTACTGATAAAGACATTAAAAGGTGAATCTCCCCTAAGACACAGACCACCTTCCCCAAGGTTAACGTTCCCATGCCTGATCTTTGCGGATTAACTTTGAAGCACTGTTCCAAATTCTTGGCCTGAATTTCTCACATTCAACTCTCAAAACAAAACACTTGATGATCCCATTTTACAGATGAGGCTATTGAAGCACAGAATGGTAAGGTAACTTGGACTGAGGGCAGAGGCTGGCTGGAGGCCAGGCCGTCTAACTTCTAAGCTCATACTATGTCTAGCTTCACCTCCCGGGCAGACTGATGGGGTTCTTCCCACATAGAAGTAATTCCCATGATTATGACTTTGGTGATATCCTTGAGACTGTGATATTTTTCTAAAATACAAAGCCAAGCTAGATTTCTGGTTTTGAATTATCGTTATAAATTTTAAAATTGTAGACAATTATTTCCTGGAGGCATCGCCTTGAATTGCATATTCAGCTTATTGATTATTTGCATATTGATAATTGCCAAAAAGGAATTAGGTTTCTTTTATAGCACATTTACCATCACTGACTGGAGGGTGCCCTTCAGCCTTTCTGCAGATAAACATCCACAGGACTGACCTCCACTGCTAGGCAACAGGTATTTCTAATCTTTACCCTGTAGTACAAAATGAAACATCCATTGTGTGCTTATGAAATAAATTCCATTTTAAATGAGAAGCAAATGTCTAACGATTTGGATCTGTTGTAATCTGAAATACATTCAAAAAAACTGCCAATTTTATACTACTCAAGTTCAAAGTATGCCATTTTCCCCTCCTCTTCCTTGAAATAGAAGACAAAAGTTTCTTTTTTAAATGCATTTAGTATAAGGTCTACAGGGTCTGACTACATAGATCAAACTTGTAGTGATCGTTCCTGTGTTCAGCCGCTGGAGCACTGGAATTACAGGCGCGCACCACCATACGCAGTCTCAATTGCTGTCACAGCACGCCAGGCGGCGGGGCCAGCGTGGCATGCCAGGGATCCAACCAGGGCCTGGCGCTCTGCTGAGGCAGGGGCTTTAGTTCACTGAGCTATCAGGCCGGCCCCAAGACGAAACTTTTTTTTCAGGCTTTAACTGATCGACTCAGAGGTGACTTCTCATAGCAGTGACTCGGCTTCACGTTGCATCTGGCGCTGACTGTGAAGTGCCCCTTATGTGGACACTTCTTTGGCATTTTTCTTTCCTCCCTTACCTGTGGAAAATGTGCGTAGCCTTCTACCCAAGCCTCCACCTTCTACTTGTGCGGCTGGCCTCATCCTTGCTACTTCCTGGAGCGCTTCTCTGCTGTCCCCCCCACCTTGCATTCCTTAGGCCTCTATGGAGCCCCACTGGGTGCCAGGCACCATGCCAGGGACTGGGATGTGGGATGTGGGGATCGTCACATAGGGTGTCCAGGAAAGCCCTCTCCAAGGAAGAGACCCTGGAGGTGTGCAAGATGAAAGCCAGGGGAGGCAGCAGGGAGGCATTCTGGGCAGAGGTAACAGTGACAAAGGAAGAGGCATGATGCGTGTCCACAGCACCATGCACAGGAGTGCTGGGCTTGTAGGGTGCCGTCTCTCTAGATAAAGAAAACTGCTGACCCTCTGCAGAGTTTCAGGAAAGGGAGAGGGCAGGGATTAACAGACTTTCGAGTGCATTCAGGGCCAGACTGAGCTTCAGTTGTGGAGGTGCAGTTAACCAGGGCAATGGCTGCTGATGAGCGGGATTTAGAAGCCTGCTTTAGAAGCGAGGCTATTAAGGCAAAGTTGTCACTGATTATTTCTGACACTCATTTGTTAGGGGGACCAAAGCACACCAGTTCTTTTGACGGATTTGGAGTAGGGGCAGACAGCCACAGGGAAGTGAGCCGTTCAGATCCACCTGCTAGGAAGCACCCACCATCTTGCAAGGCAAGGGCTCACTCTTCTCAGGAGAGCACCCAGCCTGCCCCTGGGCCAGGCAAGGGTAGCTGAATGCATCATTTCTCCACCAGCTTTCAGCCAGTGGATGAGCAAGGTGGTGGTACAAGACCAAGCTGTTTCTGGCTGCAGACTCCTCCAATAAACAGCCTTAGTGGTGGGTCTCCCAGGGGGACTGGACCACACCTTGTCAGACCCACATTGTGGTCTGGCGGTGCATCGGCTGGATCCTTGCCCTGCAGGAGGAGCAGCTTGGCCGCACATCCTTATGCTTCTCGGCCTGGCCGGGCTGACACTGTGCAGGGGAGGGAATAGCTCCTGGGGTACGGGATTGAGTGCCAGGAGAGAAGACCGTGCATGTCAGAGGACGAGGCAAGCGTGCTGCTCTACAGAGGCTCACAGAAGCCTAGAAAAATGGCAGAAATGTTGACAAGCCTGAAATTGTCAAAAATAGAGTAAGAAGACTTGGGTAAGGGGCAGGCTGAAATGGGTAAATATGGAGAAAGATGTCCCGTGTGAGGAAGGCCAAGGACCCGTCATTCTTCCATGCCGTGGGCAGCGCGTGGTCCCAGGAGTACGACCAAGGAGCTCGGGGGTGACGGCTCCTCAGTCCAGCACTGGCAGGAAAGGCTGTGATGGAACTTGGGTCTTGCTGAGAACAGCAAAGCTCAGGAGCCAATGGTGGTTGCAGGAGCTGGCTGTTCTCATCGTCATGGTAACCTCTAAGTTCCAAATGGCCGCGGTGGACCGGTTCTGGGATTCTTACATAGACGCTGAATAGATCACAGCATCCCTAGGGACAGCAGGTGGGCAGACAACAAGGGCAGGGCTTTATGTATAAACAGAAGAAGGCAAGATGGAGGAGCATGGGGCTGAGAGAGATCACACTAATCAAAAGCCTTCTAATTCCTTTCCCAGTTCCCACAGCTGAGACAGTTCTCTGAGCCAAAGCATACGCCTGAAGAAGACGCTGAGCCCCAGAGGCAAGTCCCTGCAACCTGGCACAAGTGTACACCGTAACGGTTCCCCCTGTCTTTTCTTAACGGGGCTTGTGGCCATTTGCACAAGTGGCCACATAATAGAGGAAAACCTGGACATGAAGAGGTCCAAAAGAACACATGAAACCCAGAAACTCAAAGTCTCCCACCACTCCTCATCCTCCAGGGAACTGGATTCAATTTATAATTTGGAGGATAGAAAAGAAACACCATTCTGACTAACCAAGGTTTGATGTGGGTTCGCAGGCTCAGCGTGAGTTATCTCCCTCTTCCCTGAACACACAACTGAGAGTGGCACCCTGGACAAGTAGCATCGTCACATTAGCACTTAGGTCTGTGGGGAAAGAGTGACTCCACCTGCCCCACCAGGCCTGGCCCTGCGCAGTGGTCTCCAAGCCTCTCCTGGGGAGCATCTGCTCCTGCCCACCATGGTAAAACGGGATCTCAATTTACTCTTCCATTTTAAGCAACAGAAAACCTAGACCAAACACATACCATAGTGATTTTCAGACACTGAGAGTCCATAGTACAAGAACATGGTCTCCAAGAGATGGGAAAGAGTGGGTGCACCCAACAATCTCAAGCTGATGGCTCAGAGGCTGCATGAGGTGGCAAAGCAGGGGGAGGATGCCAGAGAAAGACAGCTGGTCTGTGGCATTGAGGAGAGAGACATCAGAAGAGACTAAGATGGGCAAAATTTCTCGGCAAGAGTAAATGAGAGGAGGAAGGGTATATATATGAATATATATGAAAAGCAAGCTTTGAAAGGATAAATCTAACCAGAACAAAAACCAGTACTATTTAAAGAATGCAACAAAAGCCATCAACAGCAAAATAAAGTCCACAATTCCTAACATGCAATAAAAAATTAGAAACAAAAAAAAAACCCTCAAGAAAGATGATTCCTTAAGTAGAGAAAAATCAGTCACTAACAATAAACCTAGAAGTGACAAATGTAAAGAGATTAGTGGCTTTAGTCACATGACCTCCCACTCTGAGTATTGGAGGCATCACTGGTAAAAAAAAAAAAAAAATGTAAGGCGTAAAGTAGGTAACCTCGTAAAGTAGGCAACCTGACCCAGTGGACAAGGAACAACTCGGGTCCCTGGAGTCCTGAGAATGGCACACTTTTCAAAAAGCAGCTTTCACTGTGGTACTAGGTCCCAGGAGAGACAGAATCCTGAGATGCCACGTTGATGATGTGCTTAGAACTGCCCGCTAAATCTTAAGACCTCTAACAGGTCCGCTAAAGCATCAAGTTGACAGGTGTCCATCATAAGCCGGAAATGATGTCAGGAGCAGTCCCAACAGGACGGGAAGACGTCTGCAAGTTTGGGAGCAAGGGGCCCAACCACCAGGTCACCACAGTTGCGCCTACTCCCCTCCCTCCCTGTGGTGTCTGGAAAGCCTGTGTGATCCAAGGAAGGAAGATGAAGAAAACTGAGCCGGATTTATTCAATCTAAACTGACTTTTGCTGGAGGGGGGAGGGGGGAAAGGAAAGGAGGTGGGAAAAAGGCATTAAGAGGTGTTATGTACGTGTACCAGTTCCCTAAAAAGAATGTAAGCAAATCTGTACTAATAAAAAAAAAGAAAATTATCATTATCATTCCAGGGTGATATTGAAAGATAACTGGAAAAGGAAAAACAAACAAACAAACTCTCGTAGTCTTTTAGCAAGGAAAACACAGACCCCGCCCTGGTAAGGTGGTGCATGCCTGTAATCCTAGTACTTGGGAGGTTGAGGCAAGAGGATGACTGTGAGTTTGAGGGCAGTCTGGGCTACAAAGTGAGTTCAAGGCTGGTCTGAATTGCATGCAAAATCCTATCTCAAAACAAACACACAAATGAGAGAGAGAGAGAGAAAGAGGGAGAGAGAGAGAGAGAGAGAGAGAGAGAGAGAGAGAGAGAGCGAGCAGTGCCCCAGGGTCATTCATTTTGTAAAGGAGGAGAGGTCAAACCCATGCAGACCCCCAGCACTGCCCATGGCCTGTTGTACCTCCTTTTCTAAAGCAACAAACATAGCAAGGGTCCTAGTGAACTACAAAATCTACTGCTGCATTTTGGATTCTGTGTCCAGGGACTAGCAGGCAAGGGGAGGTATTGGAAGCCCAGGGCAACTCAGCCTGCTCAGTGGGAGGAGCTAAAAACGGTGGGGGCAAGGAGTGAGTTAAATCAACGTGAAAGAAGTCCAGAGGGCCATTAGGAAGGAATATACGTATATACATATAATTTTTGAAAATTTAATGCTATGAGGCTCTGAGATGCTCAGCAGACTAAACACCTGCTTAGGCAAGTGCAAGGATTGGGTTCGATCCCCAGCACCACGTGCTGTGCTGGCCCACCCGTGGGTGTGCTGAGCTGGTGACCAAGTCCCTGAGTGGTTGCATACGCCTGTAATCCCAGCGCTGGAGAGGCTGAAAACTATGAGTCCAAGCTGCATAGTGAGATCCTGTACCAAATACATAAATTAGTAAATAAATAAAATTTCTTGCTTTCGGATTAGATAAGGTTGCTAAGGGCCAGCATAGCTTGAGAAGAGGCTAAAAAGCACAACTCCTCATGTCATTCCCTACCTTAAAAGCCTTCTTTTCCCAACACTGCAAAACCAAACCCACAACCCTCAAAATCCCAGCCAAGGTCATCTCCATGCTTGCCCCAGGCCACCTTTCTTGTCTCTTGATCCACTCTGTCCCTCTGAGGCCTGCTGGCTCAGTGTCCAGCTCCCTCTGTGCCTCTTTGCTCTGCTGGCTATCCCTTCTTGTGACACTGTCCTTGCCTGGAGCCTTATCTTTGCTGGGCGGCCACACCCTGCCTGTCCAGCAGCTCAGAGGCCATGGGTTCTGTGGCTCAGCTGTGGATGAGGCTAAGCAGTGTGTGTGGATAGGCAGCCTAGGCCCAGGGCTGGGCTCTGGATGGTCCACAGTCAGGCTCGATTCTCCTCTGTCACCCAGGACACGTGGCTCCCACTCTCCTTGGTCCCTGAAAGTTCCCTGCTCAAGCCGCCCATTGAGACACAGAAGCCAGCAGGGAGAGAGACAGCACCAACGCAAGGAAGGCAAGATTCCTAGGCATTTCCAGACCACTGCCCATGTCTTGCTGACCAAAGCTGATCACAGCCGCTGGTCCTGATGACTCCAGGGGCACCTGTGAGGTGTGGAGCTTTGCTTGGTGCCCTGCCAGCCCGAGTGACTCAGCCAGCCCACAGGGATGGGTGTGGGGTTCACCATTTGCAAGCTCTGATGAGGACAAAGATTTCTCAGGATAGTCACTGTGCATCTTTCTCAGTAGGTTTAAGACCCTCAATGATAGCCTCATAGGAAAGGACTGGTTGTAATTGCCAAATTACTATAGATTACCTAGGTCTGTAAACAAAGGTTGGTCCATGAAGAAGGTGGGGTACAGCACTCACTGAAACAAACTACCTTGCAGTAACTAGCTTGAGGAAAATGAACCTTGGGCATCAGGCCTGTTTTTTTCAAAAGTCCTTCACTCCCCTCTCCCTGTATCCTGCTATTTATCAAATTACCCTTCTGTGGTTACTGCATGGTGGAATCGGAGCACTAGAAATGGCTACTCACAATGGTCAGCCCACTAGTTTACCTGTCTTCCCAGCATGCCATGGGGCAGAGGTGATGCATGGTAGAATGAGGTGGTGACACAGAAATGCCTCCTTTCCTGTGCCATTGTGACCCTCCCGCCTGAATACAATAACAAAATGGTATAGCATCTGCATGTAACCTACATATCCTCCCCGCTACTTTAAATCATCTCAAGATGACCTAGCATGTCTAATTCAATCAAATCCTATATGAAAAGCAGTCACGCTGTACTGCTTATGGAATGACAAGAAAGAAAGACACCCAGAAGGGCAACTGTGTTCACACAGATGCATTTTTTTTCCCCAACTATTTTTGATGAGCAGTTAGTTGAATCCACAGGTGCAGATCCTGCAGATACGGAGAGCCGCAACAGATGTCTTGTTCAGTAACAGGAGGGCAGCGACGGGACCAAAGCTGAGCCGGTTTCCAAGCGGCAGCCCAACGGCTCAGCGTACCCTGGCGTGGCCTGTGGTGCCGGGGATAGAACTGCGGTCCCTGCGCGCTTGCTTAAGCTTGCCTAAGCAGGCGCTTCAGACTGCTGAACTACCTCACTGACAGCCCCCAACCCCCCTCTATCTTTATGCTACAGCCTTTTAGAGCACTATTCGGAGTTCCCTGTGAGCTTTCAGATGGCAGTGCCGAGCATGCGTGATGTTTTCTGTCCGCTCTGCCGGGTTCGCAGCTCCCGCAGGTACCCGCTCCTTTTCGATCCTGTCTGGATCTAGCAATGCGCTCCACAGGGCTGCATGAGGGGACCTAGCTTGTGACTCAGAAGACGCATGCACAGACGACAAGAAGCTCCGGGTAGCGACTTTACAACTGTTTTATTCAATGCAAATTTAAAAACTTGTATGTTTAAAAAGGGGTATTTCAATGGTTTTTATCATTAGTTTTAATGTTGGTTATCTAATCTTCAAATAAATGATTTATATATTAAGTTCAAAATTTCTGATAGGCATATACATTCTAAATTTTTAAAGGTAGCTATGGGAAGACATCATATTCAAAAGTCATCACTACTTTTCTAAAATTCACAAGAAGTGATCTGTATGTCCTGTGTTGCAGATAACTGCCCTGAAGGTTAAAAGCCCTTTTTTTTTTTTTTTTTTGAGACGGTGGTCTCACTATGTATGTAGTTCAGGCTGGTCCTAACTCATGATGTAGCCCAAGCTGGCCTCAAACTCACAGAGATCCTCCTGCCTCAGCCTCCCAAGTGCTGGGATTACAGGTGTGCACCACCATGTCTTGCCACTCAAGGTCCTATATAAAAGCGAGGGCTCATTTTGTTTTTCTCAGAGAAGGAAAAGAGACTTAATTTATCAGAAGTTTTATTTCATGAGCTTTATGATGAACTAGCTTGTGCAGTCTAACATTCAGATGATATTTTCATACTGAAACAGATGGCAACGGACAAAAGCTACAATGGGTCATCCCGGGTGCTTCTGATGATAACAACAGGACTCTCTGGCTTAAATACACAGAAGACGGGACAGAGTGAGAGTCGTAAAATTATGTTAAAATAAATATACAGTTTTTCCCCTGTTTAAAAGTATAGAAACTTGGATTGGAGAAGATTAGACGGTAGTTAGCAACTCCTTTATAAACAAATATAAAAACACACAAACCAAATACTGCAAAACAAAAATCTTTTTAATCTAAAAACTCATTTCCCAGGGCCAATTAATAGCCAAGCCCTACAAATGTTTTATCAGTTTATTTGACTAACAAGAGCTATTCATCATGTTCTTCCAAGTAAGAGAAAAATAATAGATTTGGGTAAACCTTTCTGAATTAGGCCACGATACTGCAGGCAGTTCAGGGAAAAACATGGCCATAGTTTTTTCTTTGGTGTGACCGAAAGGGTGTCCAAAAGTTAGCAAATGTTGACAATGCAAGTGGTAAGAAATTGCCAAATGGAAATTTAAACTCACTAAAAAAAAAAAAAAAAAAGGAAGAAAGACTCTTGGAAAAGCTTTGCCCACAGTGTTGTAGTGCAATTTTTCAAATTTCTGAGAAATAATTTTATTTACTAAGCAGGAAACTGATCCCAGCAGTGTACCGCACTGTCCTGCCTGTTGGCCCCACTCCGTACCTCGAGGCCGGCTCCCAGGCAGGGCGCAGGGCTGCCCAGGAGGGGCCACTCAAAACGGCCCACGCCTTGGGAGACAGCAGGCTGACAGAGGCGCGTCCGAGGCTGCACAGCAGCAGGCACCGAGTTGCAGCGTCGCCACTTTCGAGTTCTGCACTTTTACAAAACAGAAACAAAGCCTTTTTTCCCCAGAAAAAAGTACCTGCACCCATGAATCACTCCGCCCTTCCCTAGCTGCTCCCTGCATTTGGCCTGTCTCACTGAAGAGGCCTGGCACTGCCCGCCTCCCTCACGAGTTCCCCTCTTGGGGAGCCCTCCAATTTTATTTCCCTAATAACCACCTCCACGGCCTAGCGCCACGCTATTTCTGTACACACTGTCTGGGTGCATCCGTCAAAGTGTTCAAAATCCACACAGACACTCACACCTAGCATTTCTGCAAGGAAAAAGATCTTCCCCAGGAAGCACTTTCAGAAGTTGACGCTGCTAACTCGCTTTCAAGCCGCATGCCAGGGGCCGCTGAGTCCCAGACGCCCGCAGCGCAGGTGCCCACGGTGCGCGGGGTCAGGACGCCCTGGGCTCCAGCTTCAAGGGCGCAGCAGCCCCGCATGTCTCCGGAGTCCGGCTCAGGCCCTAGTCCTGCTCCTGCGCTGCGTCCCCAAGGGGCTCTGCAGGGTCCTCGCCCGCATCTGCAGGCCCAGGAGTCCGAGGCGGCAAGAAGGCGTCGGGGGCCTCGCAGCCCTGCTCGCCCCAGTCCTGCGGGCCCGGCTTGGCGCGGCGCGCCCTGGGGTCCGCGGGCTCCACGGCCTCGCCCTCGCCCTCGGAGATGACGGTCATCGGGCTGCTGTGGATGCGGTTCCGCACGCCCTGGGGTCCGCGGGCTCCACGGCCTCGCCCTCGCCCTCGGAGATGACGGTCATCGGGCTGCTCTGGATGCGGTTCCGCACGCTGTAGCGGCTGCTGGCCGCCGAGGGCGGCGTCCGGCTGCGGCCGTAGCGGGGCCCGGAGAAGGACAGGCTGCGCGGCATGGGGCCCTCGCTCCGCGCCCACTCCTCCTGCGCCCTGCGGCTCTTGCTGGGCGAACAGCTGGACGGGCTCTCGGGGGCGTCGGGCGCGGGCTCCGACCTGGACCTCTGGAAGCGCGGGTCCGTGTGCCTGAGCATCTCGGCGGCCGACATGCGGGCGCTGGTGTCCGAGCGGCTGCCCTTCCTGAGCAGCAGGGCTTTGAAGTTGTCGCTGCTGGTGCTGCTCTTGCGCACGCTCCTCTGGATGGAGCCCACTTGCTTGGGGGAGGCCAGGCTGGGCGTGGTGCCCGTGGGGGTCACCGGCGGGGAGGGAGAGTGGTTTCGCGAAGGGTCATCCTCGGAGTCTTTTCGGCCCAGGACTTTCCTCTTGGATCTGTGATTCAAAGGCACCGAGGTAAAGGTTAATATTTCCCATCAACCGTGGCCACCAGCGCGGGCTGCTCCGAGCACTCGCGCAGCTCACCCACTACTTGACTTACTTTTCCAAAACCTAAGCTTAGGTGTGGAAAACCGAGCGCTTTCCAAAAAAAGAACATTTCCTTGCATCGCCGGAACCACCTAGGAGAATCATTAAGCAAATCCTCACTCTCACTGGAACGTTTTTAAAAAAATTTTATTATGGATACAGGTACATGTCACCTGTTAATTCTGTCATCCCCGCCCCCATCTCCCTGTTGCAAAAGATCTATTCTATTATTCTGCGCTTCATTTATATCTTTAGGTTTCTCCTGTAAGAGATACTGTGTGATTCTGAAGGTTGTACACAGGGGCTGGGGTTCGATCTTTGGCCCGGCCCTGCCGGCCCCGCCCCGCTGGGACAGCAATTGAGATTGGGCGTGGTGGCACCAGCCTGTAATCCCAGCACTTGGGAGGCTGTAAACAGAATCACTGCGAGTCCAATCTAGTAGTGAGACCCTGAACACCCAATAGACCCTTCCCTAAAATTCTGGGGGAAAAAATTAACATTGGAGCTTGTACACCTGGTTCATTTTACTTAAAATTACTGTCTTAAGGATCATCCATTTTCCTGCGAATGCCTCAAGGGCATCTTCCTTTACCCCACTCCCACTACTCCACTGTGTGCAAATGCCACATTTTCTCTTTCCGTTGCATCTCTTGAGGGCCATACAGGTTGCTTCCAAGATGCAACCACCATGAGTTATGCCAGATTACCTAGAGACAAACCTCGGCCATTGAGCTGCTTCACTTCAGCCTTGACCGTGTGTGCTCAGTGACTGCTGCCTTGAGCCCTCCAAGGCGGCTGGCCGGGAGCAATGGCCTCCTTTCTTTCTACTTTCGCTTTTCTTATGTGATGCTGAGCAGGCCCGACAGGTGGGCCTGTGCCCAGAATCTGCCCGCTCCTAAGCTGTGCCCCCTCTAGGTTCTAGAACGGCGCCACACTTTGCGTGTTCAGCCCTCTGTCTCAGAGAACTTTCCTGTCCAAGGTATGATGACACCGCTAGTAAATCAGGGACAGGAAGGCAGGCAGTCCAGCGCCCCCAGATGGTTTCTTCCTAATAACTAAGCAGTAAAGGGCAGGTGGGCAGGGGAATTTGCCTTAGGGGATCTTTTTCTCTCTCTTTTCTGTACTTAAAACAGGGTCTACAGGGTCTCACTATATAGATCGGACTCAGTGATTCTCCTGTTTTCAGCCTCCCAAGTGCTGGGTTTACAGGCTGGTGGCACCATGCCCAGTCTCAATTGCCCTCTCAGCATGCCCTAAAGGTAGGGTCTGCATGGCACAATGGGAATTGAAACTCAGCAGCTGCGGTCTGCCTAAGCAGGTGCTTTAGTCCACTGAACTATCGGGCAGCCTTGCCTCATGGGATCCTGGTAATTTATTTAAAAAAAAAAAAGCCATGGACCCCAGGGTGGTGGGACAGGGCTGTAATCCCAGTACTCTGGGAGGCTGAGGACACTGCCTGCTAGGAAAGCTCTGAGTTCAGCACCCACCCAGGGCCTTAAGTTTGTCTCTTCTCCTGCCAGGAAATCCCAGCCTCTGCATTAGGCAAGCACGGGGCATCGCTACGTGCAGACAAAGAGTTGAAGCTGAGCGTACCAAGGAGAGCTGGAGACCTGGAAAAGATGCCCAGCTCGGCCGCCCTTGCTGGTCCAGTCCAGCCACTCTGGGTTTTAGAGAAAGTAACTGAGGTGCAGAGAGAGGCAGCTGGTCAGTCTGACCTCCAGGACTTGGTGGCGTTTTTTCTGCTCGCAGCACATGATCTCACAATGGACGCTGGTGGCCCCTACCGCAGCTCAGCTACTCGAAGCCCTGCAGGTAGTGGCCTGTGGTATAATGCTTTTATTTGGTTCTTCATAGCAAGGGGAAGGTGTACAGCTACATAAACCAACCCACAACTACACTTGTCTAAAGCCACGGCCTTTCAGGGCAGATTCAGAATTGAAACAGCAGACAAGTTTTTAGTAGAGCATCGACGTTTCTCAAGAGCAGCTGGTACTTAAAGTGAGAATTAAATTTAAACATGAATTTTCTGCCTCCGTGTGTGTGTGTGTGTGTGTGTGTGTGTGTGTGTGTGCTTGTGTGTGCGTGCTTCTAAAGAAGACAGCTATAAAAAGTACTTAAACAGTTAACACTGGCTTAAAAACTAATTACTTCAATAAAAATAAAAACTTCACACCTCACATGGCGCCTGCACTTTCCATCTGGCTTTAAATTTGAAGTGAATTCATTTGCATCAGAAGATTTGAAAGCTAGGTTTCAATTTAGAGATTCTGTATTTTAAATTATGAATGTAGGGGCTGGGCGGCATGAAAATAAAGCCCTACATAGCACAGGTCTTGGGTGGACTTCCATTTCGCCTGCTAACACAGTATTAATGCTCCAACAGAAATCAGCACGGGTCCTCGTTCTCTCTTTGAAAGATAGTCCCAAAGCTGCTTTTACCCTTACTCTGTCACATGTACCATTTCAACATGTGTAGAACACAGAAGCTTCTTAGTAGCTGAAACCACACATATTTCAGTGACCTCTGAAGGTTCCCACAAAATACAGAAGCATATTTTTGGGGAAATTATGTACTACCTTGGCCCTACCAGCCACGGCGTTTCCTTGAGACCGAGCATCTAGCACACAGAGCAGCCCGGCATCACAAGCCTTTGGGGCTTACTATTATAAAAATATATTCCCATATACTTAGCAACTCCATACATTTCGTCCTAAACAACAGACTGAGTTTTGGAAGAATTTCCTAACAGCTAAATTCCAATTGGTTTTGTTTAATTCAGAAAATATTTGTTGAGTGTTTATTATCTGTCTGGTATGTATAAAGTTAGAAACACCCATGTACACTTCCAGAAATGCTACCAAATTTGGTTCAAAAGACATACCGCTTCATTTTCTATCTTGAAAAACAGTTGACTAGCCATTCTCTTTTGTCCAAGACTGAGGATCAAAGCAAGGTGAGCTCTACCACTAAACAGCCCCAGACTTCCTCCTTATTTTTTTTATTATTTTGAAACACAGTCTAAGTTTCCCAGGCAGGGTTTGACCTCGACATCCTCTTGCCTCAGCCTCTTACACCTGATAAAAATCAAGGAAACCAGTCAGACAACAGTCAAGGGAACAGTCTATGGTCTATACACAAATACCACACCAAGAAGACGGCATTCTGGGTGAGCACCTAACTCCCAGCTTGGTTTTACCTGAAGTTAAACATTTGTATGTTGCATGGGGAGTTCCAGGTAGGGGCACTGCTGTGCTTCCCACTCCATAAAACAGTTGTTTTTCTTTCAACTCAATTCCAAGAATTAAATGGTAGTACCAATCCAGGTTATTTATGCAGAGAAGAATCGAAGGATTTTATAAGATGTTTTGTCTCCAAAGGGAAGAGAGGACCTTCATTTGGGGCAAGATAAGGTCTTGGCAGCATAAGGGCATTCATAAGTCATCTGAAAATACTGATAAAGAAGTCTAGGGAGGCTAAAACCTCACCGAGCATTAGGCTTAAAGTATGTGACACACATAATCTTACCAATTTGTACAGTGACTCTATAGCGACAGCACTCCCTGCTGACAACCAGAAAACAGTGTAATAAATAAAACCTCCGTGCTAAGCCGTATTGCCTCTTTAAGGCCAACGCGCATTAAAAACAGTAGCAGTTCGGGAGCTTCACGAAGACACTGCAGGTACTTTTCTTCAACCCAACAATTTCAGATGCCAGTAGATGGCGCTAGTGGCTTGCAGTAGCAAGCAAATTTAATAGCTCTGATTTAAAGAGATGCACCTTCACTGACATATCAAAGGATTCAAAAACCTGCACCATAAAATTATGGTATTTTTTTTCTGTAAAGGAAGAGGGGCTTAGGACACCTTTAAGAAGAGGTGCTGGGGAGCAGTCCGCCTCTAAGTCCCTCCTGCTGCTCTGACCAATTCCTGTAAACACCGTCATGTCACAGACACATGGTGCTTCTGACCCACCGCCAGCACTGTGCCTACCTGAGGGTATCCCACCCAGCCTGCATCCCCTAGATCAGTTATGATGACACCGTTTCATGGAACGAAGTAACACAGAAGCTGGAGTCAGAGCAAATAAAGGCAGAGAAACACAGGAGGAAAAAAAATCAATAATAAAGTTAATGAGTCACGGCTGGGTGGCAGAAGAACCTTCAAGGAAAGAAAACAGGAACGGTTCAGAAGGAAGGAATCCTAAAGCAGATGAAAGCAGAAGGGAGGAGTTCTGGATACCTGTGAATAGCTGCAAAAAGGTCTTCAGTGGTCCTCGGTCTCGTGGGGGTTGTCACCTCCTCACTGTCATCCTTGTGGAAGTCACCAGCTTCTGAGGATGGCTCGGCTGTGTGCGCCTCCTGCACCCCAGCTAGAGAGAAGAAAGCGGGCAGGCGGTGAGAGGCAGCGAGTACAGTTTCAGTCCTGTGCCAGGCTCCCAAATCTGCTGCTTCCCTGCCATTTGCAACAATCTGAGAGCTGCAGGGGGTGTGGTGGGGTCTGCAGTTCTTGGCTTTACAAAGATGCAGGGAATGACAGGAGTCTGCCGGTCAGCACTCTCTCCTGTCTGCTACAGAACTCGTATGGGGCTGCTCCTGAATGCTGTCAGAAGGCTTCTTTGCAGCTCTTCAGAAGGGAGATTACTCACTGCTATTTCATGCCCAGCCTGCTATACAACCACCCCCCATCTCCTTCTTTTCTGCCAACTCTCTGTAAGCTCTTCCCTTAGACCTGGATTTTGAAAAGAAAAAATGCCACAAAATGCAGAGTTGTAACTCACAGGCAGAAGCCCACATGCTGCTGGCTTTGGGGTGGCTAGATCTGATCTACCTGGGTTCCACGGGTATGCCACACTCGGCTGCCCTATTTGGCGCAGTTGCAGAAGATGACAGAAACGCACCAGAGAGATGCTGGACTTACCTTCTCCATCATGTTGAGAAGGGCAGCTCGCTGCGTCACCCCCGCTGTCTCCATCATCCCTGCTGTCCCCCACTGGCTCTTCTTGCGTGGGGGCCAGAGAGACATGGGGCTGTACCATGGGGGCATCGGTTTCCACTCTACTGGGAGACTCGAACCCTGCAGCTCCTCCCTCCAGCACGGAGCTGCCGGGGCCCGCAGCATGAGCGCCAGCTCGAGCCACAGAGCTCTTTCTTGCCTCTGTGCCATGCACAGAGCCCTCCTCTGCCCTGGCGGGGCTGGACACAGCTTGGAAGGCTTCACTCACATTCTCCGTGGTGAAATCTCTCTGCGGAGGTGGCACCACCAGGAACAGTTTGGGCTTCTTGGAGATGGGGGGCGGCTTCCTGCTGGGTGAAGCATCTGGGAGTGGGGTGCTCTGAGGGCCATACCCAGACTCTGCCTCCCCAGTGGCTGGCCCGGGATGTGGCGCTCCATGGCTGTGGCTTGCAGGGCCACCACGCTCGGCTGCACTGTCACGGTCACCCTGACTGGGGCTCTTGGCAGGCGTTGGAAGCGAGCTAGTCGCAGAGGCAGGCTGGCTTTCACTCTCCATTTCATTTATGCTATTTCGGGATTTCAGGAGAGCAGATGGCTTCAAGTGATATTGTGGAGCAGCCGGAGTTCGTTGTTCCTGAGCTGCTCGTTCAGGCAATGGTGCCACTTCGGCCCCCGAGTCCTTTCTCACAGGCCTCAACTGTACCATCTGCAGAGCTTCGGTGGTGATCAGGGGCAGGGGGCGCCTACCACTGTCCTCCTTTTTTGAAGGTGGCCTCAAGGCCTCCCGGGAGGATTCAGGCTGTCCAGAGTTTCTGAAAGAAGGCCTGGTGTCTTTCATGAATTTGGGGTCCAGGGGGGGAGCAGGTGGGGGCTCCAACGAGGGTGGGAAAGGTGGGGGTGCTGGAGAGGAAGCCGGAATAAAGGGGCTCAGTGCTGTGGGAGGTAGGGGGAGGCACCCATCAGGTGGAGAGCAGAGGAGCGTGAGTACTTCTGGGGGTGGAGGGGGGAACACAGGGGAGTGGGGCAGAGGGGAGCCCTCAGGGCCATCTGCTGCTGGGGGCAGCGGGAGAAGAAGGGGAGACTTGTCCTGGGCACCTGGGGGGGGCAGAGGTGGAGGGGGCGGAGGGGTGAGGGGTAAGGCTGGGACTGCTTCCAGCTTCTTCACGGTGCCACCACCTTCAGTGGATGTATTAGAGGACAAAGATGTGGAGGAGGAGGACATGGACACTGAGGAGATCAGTGAGGACTTCCTCTCTGGCACCTTGGGCTTGGCCTTCCCCTTTCCATTGGCTGGTGACATTGATTTTAAAAACACAGGCACAGGGGTGAGTGTGGTGGGGGTATTTGACTGGCTGGAATACCCACTGGATGGAGAAGTGACTCTCTGGGACTTCTCTGGTGAAGTGACCTTTGGTTTGGCGCAGCCACCAGGCACTTGGGGGATTGTGGCCCTGGACGCCTCTTGGCTGTGGCGGATTGGCCCATTCCCATTTGGGGCTCCACCACTGGCTGAGCAGCATCCCACGGGGTTCCCGGGCTCTTCCTGCACGCCTGTGTAGTCAATGTAGTAAGCCCAAGGGTCCGCATACTCTGACCTGACACTGCTTGTGTCACTCTGTGATGGTGTGACCCCGCACAGGGAGTACACATTGGGGGTGGTGGCGGAGGTCATGCTACTGCCAGCGCTGACTGTGCTCTGGCTCCGGGAGCGGGTCAGCCAGGGCTCCTCAAAGTCACTGCAGGGACTCTGGGAGGCTGAGCTGCCACCCTTGCCCGGGAGGCTAAGCTGCAGCGACTGCTGGAGTGTGGCGATCAGGCTCTCGTTGAGAACCTGCCCATTGGACTGGCTGCTCTTCTTGGGAATCCTGCGGAGGGAGTCTGTCCGAGAAGGTGGAAGGGGAGGCTTCTTGGCTTTCTTCAAAGAGAAGTTTCTGGAAAGGGATTTATCATGGAAACCTGACTGATCCCCTTGGCTTTTGTGAGCTCTTCCATCAAAAACATTGACCATGCTGTGCCTGGGGTTCCCAAAGCCATATCCGGAGTCAGTGTGAGTAGACCTGTAGCAGCCAGCGTGGTCCTCGGAACACACGGATCCTGAGTCTTCTTTGATGGATGTCTGGTCCAAACTGCAGCTGCTCTGGTTACTCGTGGGAGTGCAGTAACCAGGGGCAGCCAGGTGGGGCTTCAAGGGGGATGCCCGCCCGCTGCTGGAGGCCCTGAACTCCCAGGGCTCCATGCTGCCCTGCCCTCTACTCCCGGAAGAGCTAGACTCGCTCTTGCCATCGACATCCTGGGGGTGGGCTGGGTAGCTCAGGGTATTCCTGCAGTTATGATGCATGACCTGGGACCCATTGGGAGAGACCTCTGAGTCACAGGCAGACAGCAGTGCGGTGACGTTGGGGGAATGGCACTCGAAGGTCTGGGAGTAGACAGAGGCGTGGCCATCGCTCCAAGGGTGACCAGGGGACAGCTGGTCAGCTCTCACACCGTGTCTGGAGAGGAGGTGGTCTCTGGGTTTTATCCGTGAGGGTGAGGAGGAGCTGGTCATTCTGCCATCCAGCTGGCCCGCACTCGGAGCGGTGTGAAGAACGATGATGTCCGAGGAGGACGAGAGGGTGGCGTTGGGGATGATGCTGGTGGAGAAGGCCGCATGAGGCGACACCACGCGTGCCGGGCTGGGGTCGCTCTCGCTCTCGCTCTCGCAGTGCCTCAGCTCCTGGGACCTGGGCCTCAGGAACGTTCCGGCCCTCGGGGCTCCGCCTAAGTGCCCCAGGTGGCACTCTCCCTGTGAGCTACTCCGCTGGTAGCAGAAAGGGTCCTCCACGTCCTCCGCGGGGCCCAGGCTGCCCAGGGAGTGAGCGCCGGCCCTGGCGCCCGAACGCGGAAGGCTGTGGAAGCCAGGCTCACTGTGCAGGCGGGCAGGGAAGGCGAGCCCCGCAGGGTCGCTCAGCACAGACATGTTGCCGGAGGAGCCCGAGAAGGGGCTCATCTGAGCGGCCACACCCAGCCCCCTGTGGGCCCTGATTCTTCTCATGGAAGGCGGCACGACTCTCACGTCCTCCGTCTGGCAGCTGGAGTCCCTGGTTTCCGAGCGCTGCCCGGCACAGTGATAGCTGTCCAGCCTTCCTCGCGTGGAGGGGGCGTCTGCGGCGAGTGCGGAGTAGCCGCCGGCCTCATCCTGGCCAGGGCCGGATGCTGGAGAGGAAGCAGAAGAAAGTTCGTTAACCTGAAAATGCAAAGCACAGCGGCACGGTGCCCCAGCCCCTCCGGCCTCCTATGATAAAAAGAAGCAAACAAAAACACCTTCCCTACTGATTCAGCTTGTCCCTCCATACCTACCTAATTGACTTTCAATAGCTCCTGATGCCCCCCTAAGATAAAAATCCTTATTTTATAAATTTTGCTTATATTTCTTCTTAATTTGTACTTCAAATCCTCCTATGGCTTGAGTGCTGCACCAGGCTTTGCAGGATTGACCTTTCCAGTAACCAGCTTTTAAGAAAGACTTCAAGGTAGACTTTGGCCCAAGCTCCGGGTATCTAGGGAGCAGGGACCACCTTTTCCCCAAGACAATAAATACAGCAGTGGAATAGTAGGGCCACAGAAATCCATTTTACTAGGGTTACTGGTATAAAAGAGTGTTAGTTACATTGATTTTTTTTTTTTAATGTCAGAAGGAAATTCGAAGAAGAAAATTGATTTATAGGCCCATCTGCGTTTCAAGCATTTAATTATCCATCTTAAGCCATTATCATCTGTCTGTTTGTGACATTCAAAATTCAACAGCAATCTGTTGTGTTCTGGAGGGGGAGGAACGTCAGGAGCATCGCCTCAAACCAGGCTTATTCATTTCTAGGAGTTTTACAACCAGAGAGTAGTATGGTAACAAGCAAGAAACGTGAAGAATGAAAAAAAAAAAAAAAAAAACAAGGCAAGTGAATGAGAACAACCTTAAGCATGGATAAACAGATCTCAGCCTACCCAGAAAAGGACAGAGTTTTAAAAATAAAATTGCAAAGCCAAGAATGTCTCCAAAACGTATTGAGAACATGTCATCAGCCCTCGGAACAAATTAAACCTTTAAAAATAGTAATAGAGCCATGGTTTTTTCTATGTGGTTTTCATCCAGTAAGAAATACATACAGGGACAAAGATAGTCATATAACAATAAAACAATTCTGAGTAAAAGCAGAAACCTTTTAACATGATGGTCAGATTCATTTCTATGTAGGCTTTTGCTTAAACAAAAGAACTATAATTTTGTCTCCCTCATTTAAACAGAAGACAACAAATTATAAGGCATCAGATACACTCCAGAGATTAACAAAAAGAAAGGTTCTCAGGCACCGGCTGGATGGCATCCCCTGAGCCTCTGGATCCCGGCATGAGGCACTGTAACAGCGAGCATCCTAAGGCCTCCCTGGGTCCCCAGGACTCCCTGGGGCACCTGTCCTTGACTGCAAAAAGTTTTTTTCTCACCATACCAGCAAAGGATATTACTAAAATAGTAGCAGTGTGCTCGCGGGTACCTCAAAGATTTCACTTGACAAGGAAGGGCCCCATGGAGAGTGCTTCCACTCCCTGTGAGCACAGACAAGCTCTAGTATGCTGTGTCATTCATCAGCAAAGAAATCTACTTCCTCTATCTTCTGCAAAGCTCTCCCAGAATGAACACATGAACACACACACACACACACACACACACACACACACACACTCATGGGAGGACTCAAAGGGAAAGTGGAAAAAGAGGCAAGGACAAGAAAAAAAATCCACTTTGAAGAAAGCAAAACACTTCTCTGGCAAGGGCCTGAGTTCAATCCCTGGTTCCCGCCAAAAAGAAAAAGAAAAAAGGAAAAAAAAAAAAAAAAAAAAAAAAAAAAAAAAAAAAAAAGAAAGAAAGAAAATAAAACAGAAGGCAGGAGCTCCTGCCATTTGGTAATCTGGAAGTGACAGGCTGCCTTGTGCGGCATTAGCTTCAGGACGAACAGTCGAGATGCCTCATTCTATTCAACGACGGGTCTTCACATGTTTTGCTTCCAAAACTGCAGTGATTTTTGCATGAGGTTTGTGGTAGAATTTTAACTGCTGCTGTTTAAGTCCCATAAATAAAGTCCTCACACTTTTAGGTAATAGTGTGTTCTGTTTTGTTTTTTGTCCTATTGTCCTATTGATTAGTCATCCTTTAGTTTTTCTTATTACTGCCTATCTGCAGTACATGACACTTATACTCCTTGTTAGGAATTGGTACCTGTATTTTGAGCATGAACTTATGGTAGCCTTCTAAAAATAGAAATAGAGGCATTTCTTCACCTATATCTGCACATACATCCTTATTTAAAATAACATTGTTTTCTTAAAGAACTTAAAAAGATGAGAATTGACTAACATTCAACTCATTGGAGGAACCAACAGAATTCTAGTTCTAAAACACGATCTTCAATACTTTCAAGACATAAAATTGTCACAGTATTACAAGACACTGAAATGCTATTAAGGAACAAACCACAGAAAGAAATCTACACACACACACACACACACACACACACACACACACACAGACCACTCAGTTTGTGTTGAAACCCTGATGAGCTTTACGTGATTTTAAACCATACAGAAATATATAACTATGTGTAATTTTTTTTTTTTTTTTGGCTTGGTGGAACGGGGGATTGAACTCAGGCCCTTGCGCTTGCCAGGGAAGTGCTTATTCTACTGAGCCATCTCCCCGGCCCCAAGAGAGTTTTTATTTCTAAAAAATAAAATTTAGAATGACACAAATCTACAAGTTAGTTTTTGTTTGTTTGGTACTGGGAATTGAACCCAGGACCTCAAGCAAGCTAATCATGTGCTCTGGCTCATGCTTGTAATCATGGCCCTTGAGAGGCTGAGGCAGAAGGACTGCTTTGAGTCCAAAACCAACCTAGGTTACTTAGTGAATTCAAAGCCAGCCTGAACTACGTAGTGAGATCCTGCCTCATAAACAAGTTTTGTGCCTTCAGTAATGTTAATATTTTTGCTGCATGACTCCAGTTATATTTCTCTTTAAAAATCTTTAAAAATTAGTACATGTGTGTAGCATATGCTTAATTTCCTTGTGTATAGTTGGTACATGTATGTAACATGTCCTAATTCATAAAGAGATTCTTTTATATAAGGTCCTGATTTGGAAATAGGTATGAAGTGAAGTTGTTTTATATTTTCATTTATGTACTTGGCATAGGGTCTCACTACACAGCTTGGACTCGCAGTGATCCTCCTACTTTCAGCCTCCCCAGTGCTGGAGTTACAGGTCTGTGCCACCACACCCAGTCTCGGTGGCTGCCTCAGTGTGCTCTGGGGGTGGCATGGCATGCAGGACCAGGGATCGAACCCCTGCCTCTGCACTTGCCAAAGCAGGAGCTTAGTCAGCTGAGTGAAGTTAAGTTTAGTAGCCAATTATAATCATATACTAACAAAGTTACCCTGTCTGATCTCAAAAGATAAAAAATCTCATGGGTTCCGGGGAGATGGCTCAGTAGAATAAGCACTTTGATGGCAAGCGCAAGGGCCTGAGTTCAATCTTCGGTTCCGAAGGGGGGAAAAAAATCTCCCTGCATGAAGTTCACGCCTAATTCCATATAGTTTTAAAGTTAAAGGGAAAAGGAAAGTTTGTCCAGTTCACTTAAGTGGAAGACAACTAGGTAGAAGTCAACCGATATGCTTCCCATCTTGGCTTTTCTAACACGCTAAGTGGGTTGGTCTCCAGAGTCTACAATTCATGGATTTTGAGTTAAAACCACACACAATTAAGAATAGTATGTCTTTCTAGTGGAAGCACCTCTATATGGCTGGAATTTTAAAATCTAGCCCCTGATGATGTGGAGTGTCTCACACAGAGGGTCTGGCGTGTCCTTCCTAGGGACTGCGTTCCTTTGGAGAACCACTTCCCCTTCTGCCTAACTTGCTTGACTCAGCCCCACTTCCCAATGCGTTGTTTCTAGAAACCTATTTGTTTTTAAACCAGCAATCAAACACAGGCCCTTCCACTTGCCAGGCAGATAGGCTGATGCTGAGCTATATGCCCAGCCCTGAGGAAAACTAATTTGAAAGGAAAACTGTTGGTAATCATTGGGTAGCGAAGTGCAAAACATGGAGAGAACCTACAAGGCCCAGCAGACATCAGGAAAGGATAGGGCAAGTGTTTAACAATGACTTCTTGTTAAATAGAACCGTATTCCTATGTCACTTCGCGTATTCTGTCTAACAAAGCTCAGGCTAGCCCATCTTAAAACTGGGTCCTTGTTCAATTGCCTACTTCTTTTTCTTAACTAGTTATAACTCAGATACAGTTGTCTCAGTGACCTCCCATCTGTCATCCAGGTCACATCATTAACTATGTAGTGATACCGGCTGTCTCCTGTCTGCCAGTGGTACCAACACAGATGATGTCGGCAAAGCCACTTTCTCGCCTCCAGCATTAGCAGCAGGGCCATGTCACAGGCAAAGCAGAAATAAATGGGAGTTCCAGGGATGCAATCATGGATTTAAAAAACATTAAAATTACAGCAGATTTAGTCATCCAGCAAGAAAGAAACAAATAGGAAATTCCAGCAATAAGAAATGAACAAAAGATTGGAACTGAAGACCTTAAGTGCTTGCTTTTTGCCCGTTGACCAGATAACTAGAACTATCTGCATTATGTATGCAGCATGGGGTTTTTATTATTTTTACTTAAAGACGTCTCTTTTTGGTAATGACAAACGTGTTT